ATCGATTTTTTACCGCAGAACGTTTGTGTCTAAATCTTGATCTAAAGGACGTCAGAGGAACGGGAACCTCCTGTTCAAGCTGGGCCCCAGCTGCTTGGTGACCTCTGACCTCAACTTTTGAACGTTGGCGTTCTGCGGTCGCTCGTCCTTCATTACCGTGTCTTTTTCTGCTGCGTCGCAGCTCATTTGAGGCCCACAACACAGACCTGTGTGTCTTTGTTTAACTGATCTACATGTGTGTGTTTGTGTGTGTGTACGTGCTTATATAAAGACTAATGACATTCAACCAACAACCAACAGAAACGATGGGGAGGGCGTTCACCTCCTGACAACGTAAACAAATTTACTAGGCACTAGTGGGTAAAAAAAGGACTGCAATTTCCATGGCACTAGTGGGTAAAAAAAGGACTGCATCTGCTCTACTGTATGTGTGTGTGTGTGTGTGAGGCTACAGGAGAGACGTGTCATTATCGTCCTCCTCCGCTGATTTCATCTTAGTGGCAGAAGAGCAGCTGAACAGACTCCTCTGGTTAATGAGACTTCAAGGAGCAGGAGGAGGGGGAGGAGGGGGAGGAAGGGGAGGAGAGGAGGGAAGGAAACGAGGTGGGAAAGGATTAGAGACTGAGGGGGAGGATGAGGGGAGGCACGAGGGAGGGTGATAAAATAAAATATGGGCAAGTAAAGATGGAGGGAGAAGACGAGGTGTAGTGTATGTGTGTATGATGACAAAGGTGGCGCTAATGAGCTCCATGTACTTTCTCTCTCTCTCTCTCTCTGTACTTTCACCTGCGGCCCCAGCAGTAGCCACATCCATCGACTCCTCCTGCGTCTCCTTTTTCCGGTTCTGGCGTGGCCTTGACAGCCAATCAGGCGGCGGAGCAACAGCGGCAGTGGAGCAGGTCAGAAATCCCATTTTCTCTCAGGAGGTTTTTAAGTGGCTCCTCCGAGCCCATTCTCTCATGTTCTGTCTTGCTGAGAATTTAAGTGGCGGTCGGGGCGGGAGGAGAGGAGGGCAGGGGGGGGCTTGCTGGTCAGAATTGGCCTCTTCAGGGACGGGGGCCAAGCTATTACCAAGAAATGGGCTGGATGGTGTGGACCGGCCTCTCCGTTTCACTGACTTAGGATGAACTGCTGCTGGGAAAGAGCAGGACGTAACACAACGGACGCAGTGTCCAGGAGGGAGTGGACAAAAGAAAGATGGACACGAAGATTAGAAGAAGGTCAGGTCCACAGTGGGAACCACAGACTGATGAACAAATGTCAAAGGAGTGGGTTCAATTCCCTCTCTGTCCCAAACGATTCGCTTCCAAATCTGAGGAAACAATGAATTCTCAGTTTGTCTCCAACCACAGGCCGTGTTCAGCATCATGTGATGAATACATTTCTATGAAAAGTCTTTTACTCCATGGCCAATAATCACAGCTGCTACTGTTATTACCCCCCCCTAAAATAAATCAGATGATGAAAAGCTTTTTTTTTTTTTTTTTTACCAAGAATTTCCACTTCATGTAAATTTGTTTTTTCTAAAAATCCGGAGACAAAACCACGGCTGTATTTAAAATGAGACTAAAATTTCCATGTCCCAGTGAGATTGTCTGGCTTAGAGGGGATGAACATGTCACCTTGTCCCAGTTGTTGCCCCACCAGGGTTCCATCTGTCCTGGTTTCTTTAAACTGCTCCATTCATCCTCCTCGGCCCAGTAACTGTGTCACTCCGTCTGCTCCACCTTCCCACCACTACCTGGACCCTCCCCTGTTGCTGCACTCGTCCTTCATTGTTGTGCAGGAGCTCTCACCCCCTCACCCTCCCCT